GCCTGGAATTTATATTCTTTTTTTGTTTGTTTGTTTATTTATTTATTTTGAGAGAGAGAGAGAGAGCATGTGTATGCACAAGAGGGGGAGGGGCAGAGGGAAGGCGAGACAGAATCCTAAGCAGCCTCCACACCATCAGCACAGAGTTCAGAGTTCGATGTGGGGCTCAAACTCATGAACTGTGAGATCATGACCAGGGCTGAGACCAAGAGTCAGACATTAAACCATCTAACTAGTACACTGAATAACAGTAGTGCCAGGATTTAAGGTGGTGCGGTGAGGTAGGGTGGGCGGGAGAAGGCCTCTCCACTTCACCATTTCTGCAGGAATTGCTACCTTGTTACTCAGAGTGATCTACTTACGGCCTCTTCCCCCAAATAGGGAAGGGGAGTTGGAGGAAGGTGGTCAAAAGATACAAACTCCAGTTTTGCGATAAACAACCTCTGGGGTCGTATGTAGATCTTAAAAGCTCTCATCACAAGGAGAAAAAAGGTTGTTTCTCTTCTTTTTAAAAATATCTATAGGAGGGGCGCCTGGGTGGCTTAGTCGGTTAAGTGTCCGACTTTTGCTCAGGTGATGATCTCGCGGTTCGTGGGTTCGAGCCCCGCGTCAGGCTCTGTGCTGACTGCCAGCTCAGAGCCTGGAGCCTGTTTCAGAGTCTGTGACTCCCTCTCTCTCTGACCCTCCCCTGCTCACGCTGTCTCTCTCTCTCTCCTAGAAATAAATAAAACATTAAAAAAATTTAAAAAAATAAATAAAAATATCTATAGGAGATGACGGCCGTTAGCTAAATTTACTGTGGGACTCATTTCACAATATACAGTAAGTCAGGTCCTCAGGCTGTACACCTGAAACTTACACAGGGCTGTATGTCAATTACGGCCCGCTAATGCTGGGGGGAAGGATAATCAAAAGCCAAAATAGAGAAACAAAACATAAAATATTTAGAGTGTGTATATTTCAAAAAAGTAACTGAAAAATTACTAAATTTCCCTGGTAACCGATAAATTTAAGCATGAAATTGTGTGAAAACAGCATTTCCACTAAGTACCCACCCTTCAGAGGTGAGTTAGAGAAACAGGCACAATGTAATCCCTAGGCCCCAAGCTGTTCGCCTGTTCGTAGGAACACATAGCTGTTTGTAACCTCAAATTCATACTTGTGCAGATTACACAGACCAAAAGTCCCAATGAAACTCTTTAAAAATAACGATCTAAGGCTTCCATATTAAGTATATTTATTTTTCTCCAGGATTAGGACAGATCGCTTTGGCAGTCTAGTCTTTCATAAAGAGGGGGGTGGGGAACAGAGTCGGGCCTTCATTTTCTCACAAAAGGCACGATGGGAAGCGCATCTGTGAACATTGCATAATTTGTTATGTTCTACAAAGAGGTGGGTTTTTGTTATACACATACCAAAGCTATTTGGTACTGTTTCCCCAATGATCTCTATTCAGGTCCAGAAAAGAAATTGGCCTCAGCAGAGTGAAAGGAGAGTAAATTTTTCTTTAAAAATTAGATACAGATTATCACTTCCAAATGCAGGAGGGAATTTTACAAGTGACGGTGCACTGATTAGCTTTCCAATGGACATCCAGTCCTTTATGGAACGCATACTAGCGGTGGTCAGCTGTGACCAATGTGGTTTATTACTCTCCAGAAGAGCTGAACTGAGATTACCCATCTAATCTAATTGAGAAATGTTGGGTGAACTTGAACTCTTTCATGGACATGAATGACCAGAGAATTTATTTGATAAGACATTAAAAGCTGAATATGGTAACTATCTCTTTGATGGCTGGATACAGTCATTCCCTTGTTCATTTGCATGCCTTTAATATTTTTTTGGCCAGTACTCTGCTGGTGATTACACGAGCAGCCTAAATGAAAATGGAGTAAAAAAAAGTTTCTGTACAACATCGTTATGGAAACATTAGAAACCTTACCTTTATCAGTAAACACTCCTGGCAATCTTTAGTTCGTTACCGCTTTAAAAAGTGACTCCATCTCTCAAGAACAGTAAATTTCAATTGTAGAAAATTGAAATTTAATAAACCCACTGTTTTCTCATGTCATAGTCCCTAAATTATGTTTAAATGTTGTCTTTTGATTTTACTAATTAATATTTTTTTTAAAAAGGACATTGGGGGGAAACTGACATGTTATTTACCAACCTCCTTTGCATTTTGTTGTAAATGCGGCAGTATGGGCAGGTTGGTGGCATCTCAATGAGACATTTGTGGTAACTTTATCGACAGTATAATGCACAGGTGGCATCCGATAATAAAGTTTCTGCTCTTCATATGCCTGCTAAATTTGAGACCAAGTCTGCTGTATTCCCCGTGACTGTTACCGTGTAATTTGAATGTACACATCTCTTTCTTATAACGTACTTAAATATTATATTTTAAAAACGACTCCCAGAAACGCAAAGATAGAAACTCAAAGTATAAACGGCAAAATCGCACTTCACGTGACTCGTGACTCTTCTACGTAAAATTTTTCATCGCAACGTTGTCATTAAAATAAAAAGGCCTTTTGGTTGTGCCCATACAAGCATAATAAATTGTATATGTTTGCGACACTGAATGACTCTTGCCCATATGCTGCACCGCAAAGCTACATGAATGAGGCATTTACCAAATCAGGCCCACCACATTAAACAGAAAAACAATCTTTATTCATGGTAACTTATCAGTTTCAATTAATCAACCCTAACAATGGAAATTCTGATGTGTTCGAGCAACTTGAAAGCAATAGGTCATCTCCAGGGCAGCCATGTTGTGTCTTTGTGCCTAATGTTTCCAACAAAGCAACATCTCCAATAAATAGACATACATATACATACATACGTGTGCATATATATACATACCAATGGGTGACCACAGCTATGCCATGTTCTGCCAATAAACATGCATGTTTATTGCCTACGATTTTTATCATGGTAAACGTCATTGTCTTCCTTCAAAGTATTACTTTTTTGAGCTCTGCAGGTTTAAACAAAAGGAAAGAAATTTCCATTGGATGACCATCCTTTCAGTTTCTGTGCTGCTATGTGAATAGCATTGTGCAAACCATTCCAATGGTTTTGAAAAGGGGTAACCATTGGTTTGATTTGGTTACACGGTTTAGCAAAGAGCTCCCTCCCACTGCCTTAGGGTCTGTGAAAGGTCTGTGACCTGTTTAGAACTGCCAAGTGAAATGTCATGTTGCCCCTCCCAAATGGGAGTATCTGCATTCATTTGATCAGTATAAAAAATGATTGGGGATGGCGAGATCAGTGCTTTTGAATTGCAATTTATAGCAGTTTACAAAAATGCACATTGTTGGAAAAGAAAACATGGAAGTGTTTCTTTCTAAATTGCATTACCTGTGAAATGTCATTAGTCTTTTAAGGATATTTACATCCTTTTTTAAATTATTATTTAGGGACTTATTTCCCCCACAGAAAGTCAGAACTTTATTACATTATGATTTTTTAAACTTGTATTTTGGTTTTGATAGCGGAGTTTAGAGACAACATTTCTGAGTCCTCAGGATGAACACAATTTGTTGTCATTTCCATTTATTAATTCTCCAAGATAGTCTTTGCTAATCAGTTGCATTAGCGGGAGATTCCCAATGATCTTTCCCAGATTATAGACGAGATCCATTCGTTGGCAAATGCCTAGTCTGCTGATTTGTAGTAGTGAGTCTGAAATCATGGGCATACTAACTCTACCGGGTTTCCGCTACTCCTTCAACAGCATACTACGAAATTTCTTTACAAGAGCAATACTTTCTAAATGATGGTACCCCTAGATTCATCTACATAAATGCACAGTTTCATAAAAGGAACTGTTTGTTTTTTTTTTCATTAGATATGCATACGTTAAGGTAGGCTGTTCAAGTTCACAAAGGCTTAATGCAGCCACCTGGGTCTCTGGGGTGCAGAAAAAACACCGTCTATCCCGATGTCTAAGAATCTTGAATGCTCCGTGTCTTTGCCTTAGGCAAGTGGGTGGAATTGGGCATTATTTTCAGGAATTCTTCCTTTAGGAAGAAAAATGACCTTGGGAAAAGGGCCTCAGAACTTCCCTGGCTGATACTTGGGTAGAAAAAGAAAGGCCCTGCTTCAGAAAAGACTTGACCCACATAGACTCCCTAGCAATCCACTTTGAACCTCCCAACCATTGAAAGGCGAGGTTGTCACGTTTTTATCTTTGTTCATGTTAAGCCCTGGAATGACAGCCTGTCTCTGTGTTCCCCTCTCCCACTGCCCCGGCTGTAAGTGTCCACATTGACACCTACCGGTGACCGCAGGCTGCAATTCTTTGTTGCCTTGTCCACGCTCCTGGCTTTCACTGGGATTAGCTCAGGGCCTTTGTTCCCCTTCAAAGCTGGAACATCACATCCCATGTTGTGGCTTTCCTGTCTCAGACCCCCAACGCTTTCCTCACAATTTACACACCAGGTAAATGTCCCTCCCTACAGAGCAGAGAGCCTAGCCTGCGTGGGGGGGTGGCTCCCCGGTCCCCAACTTCACAACCCTTGCCAACGGGTTTTCTTGCCTTCTCATTCAGAATTTTCTGTTTCATGTGGAGGAAAGATTGAAAATGCGAATGGAAATTTAAATCTTGGTTTAATCCTTGGCCCCAAACACAAGACAACCACTGCCTTTTAAAATCCTCTTACATACTGCTCCTAATTCTAGGAAGGTGACCTTCAGTAGAAGGTGGTTTCCTGGCCTTGGTCACGGGCTCCTAAGACCGTTGCTATAGTATGGAGCACAGGAAAACTGTCTCAGGAAAAAAACGTGGCTGACATAAGGTATTCTGAAGGTCAAGGAGGACCTGACTGCCCCCACCCCACCCGGTCCTACCCCTCCTCCAGGTTACTGAGGGGCCAGCCAGGGAGGACCCACTCAAAATGAGGCAAAGAGCTCTGCGCCAGAAGCGGGAAGTGGTTTATACATAGCAAGTAAAACAAAGTTCACGTGTATTCCTTTCCCCATATCTTTAGGGAGGTTGTCTGGAACCCCGGAAGAAGAGCCTTTGGAGAAGCCGACGATACTCCAGAACACCCCAGTGAATGATAGGGACGCCACCGAGTAGGGGCAACGCGCTGGGTTGCGCGGAGCGGGACCACAGAGAGGGCCCTGTCCCGCCTGGCGCCAGGCCTGCCTCCCTGGCAAAGGGATACTACCTACACGGGCGTTTCTAACGAAGCTGTTCGTCTCTCCGATGATGATGATGATGGTGATGACGACATAGACTAACTCGAGACAAGGCCCGCCCTTGAAGCGAAGAGAACGCGAGGTGTGCCGGCTGTGCGCACCTTTCCAAACCCTTAACTGCAGGTGCTCGCTCGTGCTGGGGGAGCGGGACGCACAGACTTCGAGGGGCTGCCAAAGCCATAGGGGGCGCTTCCTGGGCTCAGCAATATGCCCCAAAGCCTTACCGGGGTGGGGAGGAACAGACTTCAATTAAAAAAATTTTTTGAGGCACTAAGCTTTCACTCCCTCTCTTACCCATAGTCTTACCCATAGTCTGTCTCTGTAACACAAAGTCAAACTGATTTGCTGCCTTCTTGTTTGCCAATTAATCCCCATGACGGCGAACCTTAACGCCTGGTCCTAGGGGATTTTAAATTTCCTCTGGGGAGATCCATTCTTCTCTTACATGGGCACTGGGCTGCCAGCCTTATCTTAAAAGTCATAAACAATTCTTACATAAGTGAGAACCTCATTGGGGTTTTGCTTCCTGGTAAGTATCAAGGCCAAAATTCACGTGTCTCTGCAGCATGTCAGGTATCACTTACAGAAAGTCAAGTTTGCTTCCTTCTGTGCGTAATGTTCAGCCTGGTCCTTTCTGTTCCCCTCGCTGCAAGTTGGGCCCGGTCTGTAGCCCAGTTTCAGACACGTACTCTGAATTACACATTTCTAAAGCTATTTATTAAGTCTCAAGAAATATATCTGTGGTAGCTGTCACGTAAAGCTGATCTACTCTGGTGTGAAAGAAAACTAGAGAGGCGATTTATTTGTGCGTAAAAGGCACAAGATTTAATTGGAGAGAGACGTGTTATTTTCAACGCAAGTACATGGGGTGGCATAGCGCCGGGGAGCATTATTCGAGCTTCATCTACTATGCACTATATACCACCGTCTGCAAAGGAGTGTTGCCCTAGAAACTTGTTTTAAATCTGCTGCTATATATCAACACCTTGTTTTAGCAGTCCTTGGCTGAATTACAGTTACACAGTTTGGCGCTTCTTTCAAATTTCCTCCCATCAGTTTGGCTAAAGAAAGGAATTTTTCTCCTTTAGAAATGAATTGGCTTAATTAGTAAGTAGATTAATGGCAATTGCTGGTGAGTTGGTTTCCAGCAGAGTTTCACCAGAGAGGGTTAATCGGAGTCAGGTCTGGAATCTTTCCCAGAACTGGCTGCCAGCCATTTCCACCAACCAATCAACCCTCCAAGAAACGGAGGAAATGAAATAGAATTTATATTCTCTGTACTACTATGCTGGGGCAGAAATTCCTCGGAAGCAGTCTCCTAGTTGGGTGCAGGGCAGACGGTTTCACTTCAGAATTTTCAGAGAAACCTTGAAGGGGTTTCACCTTCAAGATTTATCTGAGTATCAAAGCAGAATTTCACATGGCACTCACTGAACGCGTCTCCACAGAACACTGAGGGCGCACTGGAAACGCAGGAGGCTCTTAGTCAATTTCAGGTTTTACATAAATTGCAAAAATCTCCCAAGTTCGGTCCTAATCTGTTATCTACCAGAAGCCTTCAAAAAGTTTAGCTGTATGTTTTGCACTCTTTCCCCTTATTTCTTCCATAGTGATAAAAATGCATTCATAGTTTAACTCGCAGCTGCATTAGTCTTGCAAAAAAAAAAAAAAATCCCTGCTGAGAAATGCATATAATAGGAAAAACAGATCGGCTGGACAGCAGTGTAATTAATGCCAGAAAGGGCTGAGGCCGGTTTCATAGTTTGTCTTTTGAGGATATCAAGACGAGACCTAGTGAAAAATGACGCATGCTTTAGCATTTCAGAAAGCTGGCAACTGGCAATGCTTTTCCTTTTTTCTTTGACTTTCTGCCTCGGAACAAAGAGGTCGGCCGAACTAGCTAGGTTGTAATGAGTTCTATGTCCCTAGCACATTAAGTGCATCATGGAAACATATTGTATCGAAATAGTTTGGAGGAGAATACCGGGGATGAAAGAGAATGGGTGCTTTGATCAGCTCCCTGGGGTCCTGAGTGCGCACAGACTGACTTGCAAGGAGTTATTCAGCTCCAGCTAGACACACTTACAACACCATTCAAAGAAATTTGCATATCTGTAATTTATCACATTGGTCCAGAACATTTTTGCAAGGTAAATAAAAGTTGGCTGAATAAAAAAAAATCAATCATCGCAGATATAGAAGAAACTGTGAAGCCTGTGTTTCCATTAAAAACATAAATAAATATGTCCATAAAGCAGGACGACGATTTAGAGGTTGACTTTATTTTAAAGTGTCCTCGGAGCAACAGGTTCTGTGCTCACAAAGGCCAGAGTGGCCACAGTTTTTTTGCACTTCCACTTTAGGGGAGTGTTTTTGCAGCTTCCCACAAGAAGAAAGGCAGAATTTGAATGAGATGTGTGTGGCTGTAACCAGCCCGCGACACGCAGAGAAAAATTAGTACACACTCGGAGGAGATGTGAAAGATGGCTTAATCTCTTTGGCGTCCGCGAGTGCTAAGGTTAAATCTCGTTTCTTCTGTTGATTCCATTGCCAAGCTCTGGTCGCTGAATTCAGAAGCTCAAGAGGGATGAAACGTCCTCACACGGGTCAATAGGAAAACTTGCTTTCGAATGCCCCATGAGAACGAGTGAAAATTTAACAGGCAGGCATTGTTCCGAGTTTTTAAACAACCCGGTTAAACAGCAAACAAGAATCTTCAACTTGACCTTGGAAAAGGCTGGTGTGCCTGCAGATAATCTATCAAACAACTCTGGATGACAATGATATATTTCTAAGTATTGTCAGATGAAAAGATTGATAAATTTGCTGCTGCAAAGAGGGAACTTTGGAAACAGGCAACAGGCAATTTAGTGCGAGGCCCCACGGCCACTGCCTCTGTCCTTGCCACCCCATCCCCACCCCTCTACCCCCGGCCTTGGGGCCAACTTGGTAGAAAAGGGCCAGTAAATCAGCACTGTAATATTTCTTAAGGGGCACGGAAAAGCTGTGAACAGTACCTCTCATATTAAACGCAATATTTCTTTGCTTTCGTGGGGAACAAAAGTCATAGCAAGACGTCTTTATGGCTAATTCAGTGAAAGGCACATCTTGGTTCCCCCCGCGGAAAGGTCAGTGTCGTTGTGTTTGGTCCACCGAGGGGGTGTTTTCACACTGAAAACTGAGCCAGCTGTCCCTGTCATACCCTCGCCATTGGGGAGCGCGCACTAGCCATGGTTATTAGGCACATTCTACACCTGCAAAATATACCGATTTCCAAGACTTTCCAAAACAACCCCCTCCCCCGTTCTCATGCCCCCTCCTCTCTCGTCTACTAAACTTTGACAACACAATTCAAGCCCTGGATGAAAGCGCTGCCAGCAAGAGGAGAGCCGGGAGGGGGCGGCTCAGCCAGCGGCTCCTGGTGTCTATTGAGCAGCCGTCAAAGAAATGAGGCGTCAAGTATGTTTTCAAAAGTATGGAAAAACTTCCAAATAAGTGCTCAGAGACATCACGCGCTCGCCGTTGCCAACACGCGGATTTCTGAACCCTAATACTGAGTTTTATGTACCAGTGTTAAGGCGGGGGGGGGGGGGCTAGGGCCAGGCATCCCTCCTTTAGAACTGGCCCTTTTAAATTTTTCATCTGTATTCAGCGTGTCAGGGCATACATTTTTTTCGACGTTGCCCCCGTGGTAAGCCCACACGCCTCCTTGAAAATCCAAATGCCGACAAACTGTTGTCATCCATCTCCCAACGCTTGCCCAACTGCATCTCGTAATAAAATCCCTTCCAGAAACATCTCCTAGCTAGCCTTATCACCAGAACTCAGTTTCAAAGGCTTGCACTCCAAAGCTGGATACCTAGCTGTTTGAGGGACGCTCCGCGGTCCAAACGAGAAAGGAGCTAAAGGGGTGCAGTCGCTGAAAAGAAATCGCAAAATCAGAAATAATTCGGGGAAAATGCACGTCAAGAGTGAGAACACCACTTCCTCTGAGGCAGTAGGAGTGCACAAGTACCCAGCTTTCTCTAGGAGCACTTGAAGGTGGGGGTGGGGGACTAAAGATTCCTATCTGGCTGCAAGGTTTGAGGGGGTTGGGGGAGGAGAAAAGAGAGGATTTAATTAGCCCGTGGTGAGTATCTAATCCCGATCTTTGTCTAGTCCTTCCTCCTAAATTACAAAGAGCTACATCAGAAGTCCCCAGGGTGGGCGAAGTGCGAGAGTGGCGGGAGTGCCCAGGGCACCTCGGGTTCCGGGGACGCAGTCGGAGGTGAAACACACTGCGCGCCACAAGGGGTGGCGAGGGTCTGCCTCTCGCCAGTAGGGGACCCCAAACTCTTCCCCTGGCACCCCGGGGCCTCGGCGGAGCCCGCCACCAACAAGCGGGACGCCGGCGCCTTTCCAAAGCGAAGTCGGCGCAACAGGTTGTTTGGAACAGGTGCCCAAGCCCCAGGGAGGGGGTTGGCGTGAAGCTGCGGAGACGAGCCAAGGGCCAGGACCCCCCCCCGAGAGGCGGGCTTGGGTCCCCGGGGGCCCTAAAGTAGGGGTGGGCTGGAAACCTGCATCCCCGCCTCGCGGCTACGAGCGCTGGCGCCTCCGCCCAGATGCAAAACCAGCTCGCCACAGCCTGCGCCCGGGGCCAAGGGGCCCGCGGCAGGCGGCCGCCCGAGGGCTTCCCGCCCAGCCAGGGGGCGTCGTTACCCCGGGCCTCCCCGGAGAAGCCCCGTCTCCCATCTCCTGCCCTCCTTCAGGCCGTTCGCCCCGCTCTCTGCTCGCGGCTTCCCGGAGC